CTTGAAAAGACATGGAAAAATGGATTTTATGTTTTCGCGTGCATCGGCTACAGCACTTGGAGAATTGTGATTCACCGTGAAAATAGCGCTTCCATTTGAAAAAAGGGCAACGAAGCCCAAGAAGAAGACTCCGGGCTCTGAATTTTGACGAAGAAAATAAGGGAGGGAGAGGAGAAGAGAGCGACAGGGGTGACAGATAGGGTACTCTTAGAAATTCAGGAGGAAGGAACTTTGGAGATTCTGGCCGTGAAAGAATTTGGGAAATGGATTTTGGTGCTCTCACATGCATGGGATGCATCAGCTTCGGGCATGGAGAAGGGGTGGACACTGTGAACTCGGCGCTCCTATTCAAAAAAACCCAGGGAACCCACAAAGAAGAGTCCGGGCTCCAGCATAGAATTTTTTTGGGAATCACATAATAGGAGAGGCCATGTGGCAGGGCATTCCTATCCCTATCTTACGGTTCCTTCTCTTTTTCTCCCTAAGGCCAGGAAAAAAGAAAAAGAGAGGGAGTCGTAGGATAGTGCATTCTTAAGACGGAATTCTGGGGGGGGAGGGAGAGGGGGGGGGGAACTTTGGGCATCCTGCCCTTGAAAAGATTTGGTGAGTGAATTTTGGTGCTCCTTCAGGCAGCACCTTTGAGCCGGGAGGAGGAATTCGCATCGTGAAGTTTAGCGTTCCCATTTGAAAAATTCGGAGGGGAATCTACAGGGCTTATCAATTACAGTGTCCGCACCAGCATCTCCACTCCCGCGCGGGACTCTGCACTCTTTCTCGAACATACCCCTATAATCATATCCAATCAATTGAGGCTCCGCTTTTTCCCACGCCCGCGGTGAGAAGTTGATTAGAGGGCAGATTCGCGAAAGGGGTTCGAGTCTAGGTGAAGTGGCCTTGCGGGAGCGGAGTTGCTGGCGCTCCCGACACTGCAGATGGTATCTTGGCCAGGGAGCCCAAATGCTTGCAAGGAAAACTTTGGGCTCTAGTAAGAGAAACTGATTTTGACCATAAAACATTCGAGGAATGGATATACTTGCACTTTTTGTTAATCGTCCACCGCCTAAGTGCATCAAGAGAGAGCGCAAATCTCTGCACTCCTTGGCATGCAACACACGAGGGCCCCTGGTTCACTACCATGAACAAAAACTAAGAGGATTGGACAAATAATACTGAAATTGGGGCCGCAGCGCACTATTGCGCGGCACTGTCTCAGCGTGTTAAGTATTGCGTTCAAAATGCGAAAGAACACGTTCATCGTGTAAAACCTGACATGTTTGTCGTTTTTTCGGCACTCCACCCAAGGCCCTACAGAAACGATATCCTCGTTGCTTCTAACCCAAAAAGGAAGTCCAGTTTGACCCCAGAGTGCCGAACCCTGTCCTAAACTTCTCCTTTGAGATTGTTTTATTGCTATATTCATTTAACAAAAGTTTGTTCACTTGAACTTTCTTAAGCTTATGTAGGACTTTTCTTGTGCTGTATTTGTCATCATTTTAAATGCTATGCTACAATAGTTTGATCATCCTCCTGTGTCGACATTGTCGGCAATTCCTCACGGGTTCCATTCCTTGCTAAATCCGTGGTCATGCCATAAGCATGACCTGCTGCGATATGAATGTTTTTATTGCTTAGATGCACTCAAATTACTTTGTTTCGGCTGTTATCGTTGGCATTCTACCATTATCCCAGTGCGAACCATAGGTGCGATAGGGGGAGCAGGGTCCCCTCCAGGTGAAGGGGGTTTTGGCTATTTCTGACTCAGAAAAGTGAAGGGGGTAACTGAACCTGAGATGAATGCTGACGCAAGCTTACATGTCTAACGGGAGCGGGAGTAAAAAGAAGGAAAATAAGTGGTATAGGGATGCAATTTGGAGATTTTCCTCAATGTTCAGGCTTTGGAAGGTCATACAGAGACTTTTTTTGACTCAGGAAAGCTTTATGTTTCATCACTCAACACACCATTCGAAAGCTTGGAACATACAGAATCGAAGTAGACCGTCTCTTTTTTCCCAGCTTACCTGTGAATTCAGATATAAAAAAATCATATCTAGTTCTAGCATCAGCTGATTTTATGCAATCAATTTAAGCTCCATTTCTGAAAGAAAGAGGAAAGCTAGAAAAAAAGAGACGGTCTACGTTTACTGGCAAGGCCTTGCTCTGTGATACTGTTAGAAAATCAGGCACCTTCATTCATTCTTCACGCAGAAATTTCTTGACAAAAACACACATGTTTTTAGCTAAAATGCCATGTATCTCTAGATGAAGGGGAGCTAGAGAAAAAGAGACGGTCTACGTCGAATCCTTTTTTTGTGGGCTCTCTAATGGTTCATAGGTTGTTGGGTGAAAGAACTTGTCGCTTTTCAAAAACGAGGTGGAGATATTCATTACTAATTTCCTCCACCCCGCTCCGGCTTTCTATGGGTCGCCGGAGCAAGACTTTTTTGGGCTGGGAAAGCTTTCTACAACAACACTTTATATACCATTCGATAGCTAAGAACACAAGGAATCGACGTAGACCGTCTCTTTCTTCATAGCTTTTCAGTGAAGCAAGATACGAGCAGTTTTATCTAGCTACAATATCAGTTAAATCTGGATAATTATTTTTTCAAACCAAGAAGGTCTTTTTGAAATTATATATGATTCGAATGATTGAGAAACGGGTAATCTAACTGCCCTTTTATTTGTTATTATTTTCTCTAGTGAAAGGAGATATGGTACGATTCTTGTCAGTAAACATGCATCCATCACTAGCTAGTCCAGATTTTCTACTCTTGCTCAACTCTTTCTTGCGACAGTGTGCATTCATTGATACAATGTTAATTATTCAAAGAATTGAACATTCTTTAAATTTTTGATAATGTTTCGTTATCAAGGCCACTTTGAGTGCGCAGAAGGTTTCAAGCATACGTTTTTTCAACAAAACGTTGACAAAAAGTGCCGTTGTAACAGCTTTTTGATTCGGCCGTTATGCCTTGATTCTAGTCTCAACCTCAGGTGAAAGGGGTCAGCCAGATACCGGCTCTAAAGTGAAGGGGGTCAGAGAAATTTCTCCACCTATCGCATCTATGGTGCGAACAAATCGTCTGACTCAATGAATCTGCCAGGCTAGTGTATTGTTAACACCTGCAGATACTCCTCACAAATCAGCAACTACGGCTACGTCATCTCGTCGGTTCGTTTGTACGCCAGTCTAATATATCTGCTGCATCGGCTAAGACCAGACCGATACCATGCTCTGCTTCAAAGGACAAGGCAGAAGCCTACCATAAAGCAATAACGACACTGCACTTCCATATGGAAGACTAGCTGGCTTACTCGGCTCCGCTCGATCCTGTCAAAAGACTATGATAAAGGTCCACCCCTCTCCCTGTACAACCTTTCCCTGTGATCACTTCTGCATGCCAATTCCCTATACCCGCTGTATTGGTAATCAGCGTGGTCGCATAACCTCTGTGCCAACTCCCAGCCTTGTAGCTCTAACTTGGCAAAAATCAATAAAAATCGATAAAATAGGTATCGATCGATGACGAAAAATGGCTTACGACACCCGACGACACCCGCCCCGTTTGTATGTGTGCCAAGTTTGGTCTGGATCGGTTGAGAAATGGAATTCTGCATTCGGAACATACGTACACACGGACAGACAGACAAACATACAAAAACACATTCAGCTTTATATACTATAAGATGTGAAGACGTACGCCAAGAGATCAACGGAACTACTCAGATAACCGCCGGGGGCAGGCGGCCATGCGAATTTTGAGCAAGCGCGCATCGGAAAAATAGTTCGTTGATTTTTTGCGGCCCGCTTGCAGAAATTTGGAAGAAAGTTGGCAAAATTAAAGACGAATGCTTGAAGAACAATCGCGGTTTCTTTATGGATTAGCTGCGGCGCAGTGGCCGCATTCTCGCGGACTTTCCGCGAGAATATGCAAAATTTTTGAGGGCCGCACGGTCCTTTGTGGAGGACCGCGCAACCTCCAGGTACTTTCCGCTGAGAGAGAGTACCTCAAACTTGAGTAATTAAACCAACGGTGACACCTCTACCACACAGAGTCTTACCTGTGCTCGATGTACGCCCGAAAATACCTAAAAAGAGTCCGAGCGCGTGCTGAAAGTTTGGCCAGCGCTCGCTGGAAAATATTATTTGACGAGCGCTCGCAGAAAATTCTGTATTGCCTCAGACAATGGATAGGACCCCTCCGCCGGAGAAATGGCAGGGTCGCGGCGTTTCCCCAGCGGTGGGTCTCCCATTCGTCCGGCGGAGCCCTCCCATTTCTGCTCCGGATACCTCCCATTTTCTGCTCCGGAGACCTCCCATTTCTGCTCCGGAGACCTCCCATTTTCTGCTTTAGAGCCCCCCGATTTTGTGCGCCGGAGCTTCCGATTTTGTGCTCCGCAAGTCTGCCGCGGCATACTGTAATTAGCTTTGCTTAAAGGCAGCTTCCAGGCAGATCTGGTATGGGGCTTTTACATGGAAAGTACTTTTGGGGCCCTAACTAAGGCACTGCCGAAACAGCAGCTCAGGTAGTGCTCTAATGGCGGAGATATTCCCCTCGAAACAGACCCCCGCGAACGTATTCGCGTGGATTAATGGCAGTTTCGCGCCAGGATCCACGCTTTGCGCCATGAATCCATGCGGAATACGATCGCGGGGTCCAGTTCCGAGGGGAATATCCCAGCCGTTAGAGCACTACCTGAGCTGCCGGTTGGGTAGTGGGTTAGTTATGGCCCCAAAAGTACTTTCCATGTAAAATCCCCATAGGTCCAGACTTGCCTGGACGCTACCTTTGAGCTCCAAACCCCAATTCTGTCTCTAAACCCCACCCAAATTAGCCGAATAGGACCCCCCCCCCGGGTAGGAGTTCAGCGCGACCCTCACCCCGTACCCTACCCCCTCCCTCTCACCCCTAGCGTTTGTGGATAGAAGATAGAAGAAAGAACGAAGAGATAAGACACTTATTTCAAATTTTTCAAACTTCTTCGAAAAATCATCTTATATCGTTAATCACTTCACACCCACTGGTGTAAAAGAATGAACCTTTCCAACCAAACAACGGTTTGTGGAACAGTTTGAATTGCAGTCGCAGTTGGCCCATATTATCTTTTGCTTGCATATGTGAAGAACGAATTGTTCTCCACTGATGTCATCGGGAACAGCGCCAAGATTGAATTTGTTATTTTGATGAGCCAGTGCTAAAGATGGTCGTCGTAAATTGCGCTCCTCATCTGCTCCCTATAAAACAAAAGAATAACGTAAACTCTGAGACTTAAGAAAATGATTTTAATTTGGTCATTAATGCTTCTACAAGATGGACAACGCAGAATCCTTGTGAAATGGCATTAATTATGCAACTTACCACGTATACTCCCACCAACTCTCATAGAACCTTCAAAATTGTTCCTTGTTTGCTCCCGTAATTGCTTCTGCCTTTACCGCTGAAAGCACACGATTGGAAGCTTGTTTACAGAATCGCAAGAACAGAACCTACCTCCTAAGTCTACTCCTCTATCGCAAGCAGCTTGCAAGAGAATTAGACGGATGGGATGAAGATTTTTTTGTTATTGTTGCGGCAGAATAACTCAAATACACATTACTTAGTTAGGAGAAAACTTGGATGCAAAAAGTTTGTGCATTTCCTCCATCACTATCCATCCATCACTAGACTTACTATGCAAAAAGGCAGCAGCACAAAGATTTTCTCAAAACCTCGTCGCTGCACCGCTCACATGCAGCATATGCTTAGTGCCACTCGGAGGGCGTGCATGATCCTCCCGACCCTCGCACTTTAAAGAGATGCCGCCTTTACAATCTGCACGTAGGTGATCCGGGGGGTGAAGTGACTTGTGTAAACTTGTTCAGTCAAGTATGACGCGAGTAATGTTCATATATCTAGGCATACGCATACATGGAAGCTTTGAATATTAGAATGAAAACATAGGTGATAAGTTTGACCATCCAGGATAAATGGTGGCACTCTTTCCTGGATAAAACCTATCACCAAAAAGTTCTCAGTGATAAAATTACAAAGCGGTACTATCTAGTATGTTATTAATTGTACTTATAGTGGTAGTTGAAAGAGGATTATGCCTGTGATTGACCACAGCTCACTCATTTGAGTTGTTAGATCTAAATTTGTATAAAGGCAACAAGTGAACTCGTAGGTAAAATTGACAAGGGAAGGACTTGGTACCAAGGATCATATATCAGTAAACGCGGTTTCAAATGCTCATTCTCATTCTGTTTTTCTTATCTGCGAAACCGTTCTTTGAATAAACGTGCAGAATTTTTCCAGGTGTGTGACTTGTGCTATTGCTACGTGGTGGAGCTATCAATAGGCAAATTTTCTCTTACTGGTCTACCAAATTCAAAAAAATAGTCATAGTGCTTTAGTATCTTGCCTTACAGATTTTGATAACGCAAATCAGGCAAAGCTTTTGATCATGAATCCACTACGTAGAGATACACTGCTTCACAGGGAAAAATTACTCTATTTATGATATCATTTGAAGAGGCGTTCCTCAGGTAATAAACATAGATTTGAAGTGAGCGTTTGAAGATAAGGTGTGTGTATCTCAAATGGCCGCAGTCACCAAATAATCGTTTCTTTGAGATCTATGTGTACGCACAATACATAAGTGAAATTTGAGCTATATAGCAGTTATATCCTGGAAAGTGGCATTCAAACATGCTTGCAGTGAGTAACTGCAACTTCGCGCAATGGATCAATATGAGATTCGTCTCATTTTCCCTCGATTTCACGTAAAAATTCAAGTCACATACTAGCACATGTCCATACTTGTAAACCGTAATCTGCGCAACTACTCGCTGGGTGGTCGCCTACGTGCATTCTCGAAAGGCAGCAAGCCTTGGGAGGATGATGACACGCCGCCGTAAAAAGAAGCGAGACTCAGTATGGGTGCCAGCAAAAACAAAACGCCTCCAATGCACAAAAAGCAATTAAGAACGAAACTGCAAACTAAAAAAGTTCACTTACCATCGACTAGAGTCGCTCCTATTCACTTTCGGACATCAGCGAGGTATTAGTTATTCCAGCTGTCCCACAAGAATGTATATATACATTGTCCACACGGTAGCAAAATCGTATCTGAAAAAAATCAAGCTAAGAACTGAGCTGGAGCGGTTTATATCATAACCAATCCGAAGCCGTAAAGAATATACTGAGGCTTTACGCATGCAAACATGAGTTATGAAGGAGTATCACAAAATAAAGAGCACGGAACATAAAATAGCACGGAAACGAAAAAGAAACTCGATCGATACACGAGTGCGCTGAAGTAGTGACGCAGCACTCCTCTGCGTCTCTACCCCGCGGCTGGCCGTACGACGAATTGTAAATGACGTCCAAAACTCAAAATTTTGGAAGTTTCTTTCGATTTTATGCTCAGATTCGGACTCAGCGTCCTCAAAAGGTACGGAGAAGGACAAATACTCGAAATCGAATATTTGGGTGGACGGTGCCTTTAAGAACATCTCAAATCACAGCGTGGCTACGCGCCAAATCGATACGCAGCCTGCTCCGGGGCCCTCCCATTTCTGCTCCGGATACCTCCCATTTTCTGCTCCGGATACCTCCCATTTTCTGCTCCGGATACCTCCCATTTTCTGCTCCGGAGGCCTCCCATTTCTGCTCCGGACCCCTCCGATTTTCTCCGGCGCGACTCTGCCAGATTTGGCGGACTCGCGCCGGCCAAATTTCTCCGGCGCGAGTCTGCCAAATCTGGCAGAGTCGCGCCGGAGAAATGGCGTACCTTTGCAGCAGGGCCGGATAAGCGTCCCATTTGCCTGCCAGTGATGTCACGCGACTGACGGACCGCTCCGACCGCCCATTTGCCCCGCTCTCATTGGTCAACTGGGTCCGGCGCGACTCTGGCAGATTCGGACTGCCCGGCGCGACTACGGCACCGACTGTCTGAGGCTGCCCGCTGGCAGAACGCGGAAGTACCGCCCGCTGAAGGTTTGGCCACGCCCCAAAATTCTGCTGACCGCCTGCAGAAAAGCGCGAGTTTGCGGACCGCCTACCCCCGGCGATTATCTGAGTACTACGAAATCACGCGAGCCATGTTGAGTGAATTATGCTTCCAAACCATGAACAAGAGCGACAGAAAGTATACCTCGACAAGCCGCAACTACACCCGACTTGCATCTTCGACGTCATCCTGGGCTTACACTTGCTACGATCGAAAAGCGACGTGCTAAGGAAGCCGTACAAAAAGCGAGAAGTGCATATTTACGAAACAGCTGATGGCAGAAGATTTGGATCCATTCACCAGGAGATAACTCACTTTTAAATTGCTACTGATGCTAGTTTTATTTACACACTAGAAGAACGTAAATGATGCGAAGATAGAATTGAAGAAAAAAACGAAGGAAATATTTTGCCGTAATTAGATGTGAAAGTAGCTGAGCAAATGTTGCCCAGTAATCAGTCGGGCAACAAATTTTCTGCTTGATTAGGCGATTTCATCTCATTCAATACGGCAACGATTGTGAACAGGCAAAGACAAAATTTCCAACAGCAAATTCTCGGCCTGTGGAGATCCCAAGTATAGCAACATAGCAGCATGTAAAGGTATTTCCAACTTAGCCCAGACACATGTCGCGACGCCTAAGCTTTAGGCAACTGTTGGTATTGTCGGCAAAAAACATTTACAACAACGCGATCTCAGCTGCACCGATATGAAGGGAACAAAGCTGGAGTATCAGCATCCAGATTCCACATCAAGTTCTCCACAAGATCGTGCCCGCCACTGTACCACCTCCAACATGGGCCATATTTTCACCTGCCTGTCAACTCGACAACGTCCACTGCGATATCCCGATAAAGAGATTAGTTGTAATATATGTACATGTTATACTCTTGTTTCATATTGTCATTCTCATTTCTTCCGCTGGCCGCAGTGTGCTGACATTGTCGGCACTTCCTCACAGCAGTGCCATTCCTTGTCAAAACCATAAAGGTCATGCCATAAACATAACCTGCTGTAATGGGTATGTTTATTGCCCAGATGTACTTAGGCTACCTTTATCCGCTTGTTATTGTTGGCTTCCAAACACTGTCCCAATGCAGACAAGACGTCTGACTCAATAAATCTGCCATGTTAGTGTATTGTCCACACTGCGGATTCTCAACAATCACAACTACCTACGGCTACGTCAACGTATTTCAGCCCAATATTTCTGTGCCGCCAGCCGAGAGCAAATGAACAGCAAGGAAGATGATAACAACGGAGATGATCGTTTGAAAGCAACAGTATTCTTCTTTTTCCGGATATACAGCAGTGGTGGCTGATGAGTAGAACGTGTGAAATCTGCGTTGCAATTATCTAGGCTATTTGAAGTGATGCAGCTGCCATGACTTGTAGATGTCGAGCACATGAGAGGCTGAGGTGAAAATATCGCTAAGAGAGACTTTCTAGAAAAATAGAGCAGATTATACGAGTTGTTTCAACTGTTCAAATTCCATCGCATTCTAACAGCTCAGTGTAGTGATACAGTAGACGTCGGCAGTGCTTTTCGTGTATATCTTTCCTTCTATTTTCAGTGGCTAAGAATGATTACCTGCAACTGCTCGTTATCATTACTAAAGTTATTAAGGTGCTGTAATCTGGTCGACCTCACTTTTTCGGCTGTTCTTTTTCTGACTAGTAGTTGTCGACATAACCTTTTTGTTCTTTGCCTTTCTTCTGATAGATATGCTATCACCATTGCTAGATCTAGCTGTTTGCGACCTCCAAGTGCCGCTGGCATCGTTTACCTGCAAAGCCTTAGCACATGCAAAAAAGGCCTTGTCAAAGTGGTGTTGATCATCTTTGTAAATGCGCAGAGTTCTGCCTTCTTTTGTTGGAATCTGTTCCTTCAGCGCGATATCTTTGGTTTGCTTGATTCCAATGCTACACAGTCAATGCGATATTCTTCAACGTTTGAAATGGTTGTTTCCGCGAATTTCTTTTGTGGTTTGTCTCTGTAGATGCGGAATGTTGATTATAGTGTTCAAACCACTCCAATTCAATGATGGGCATATCTTCTCTACCTGCTTGATTTATGGCAAAGCTTGCTCTCTGTTTTTGTTTCTCAGTGACAAAGCAGAATTCTTTCTATTTTTCATCAATGCTAAATCGATCTCGCAGTCCGTCATAGATCCTTCTAAGGTGCAAAAAAATTATCGGTATCACTTATGGCACGAAAAAAAAGCTTATCTGTTCCTCCCATGCTTCCCGCTGAGACAAAAACTCGTATCAGCAACTCAGATAATCGCCGAGGGCAGGCGGTCCGCAAACTCGCGCTTCTCTGCAAGCGGTCAACAGAATTTTGGGGCGCGGCCAAACCTTCAGCGGGCGGTTCTTCCTTTACTGTCGCATATTTTGCCAGCGGGTAGCAATACAGCGGGTAGCAATACAGCATTTTCTGCGCTCGCAAATAATTTCTTTCAGTGAGCGCTGGCCAAACTTTCAGTGAGCGCTCGGACTCTTTTTGAGCAGTTTCGG